TACTTTTCTCTGCATTGTTTTGCGCAGAGTAATCTAATTTTCAGAGATCAGAACTGGTGTCAGATTTATAGCGCACCGTCCAACAGGATAAAAAGGCAGCCTCATAATTGGCTTTATACCATTGTTGCCATAAGCCAGACTTGGATGTATAAGATGGTTAATGCAGCATGCAAAAGTTTTAACATAATCCCTAATAGTCCACCCCCGCTGCTTGCGATCCTCCACCTGCCAATTTATCCTCGTCAATTGTTCTGTGCAAAAAAGATTTCTCTATCAGTTTTTGGCAAGAGGTAAAGAACATGAGGGACAGTCAGCAGGAGCTAGTATATTTAATAAAACAGAAGTGTATAGTCATGTTTAATACCATTTATATTGTGATATGTTACTTTTCCATTTCAGCAGTGCTTTAACAATGAAATGTTGCTTCGCTACCTTGAATGAACTTCGTTTAAAAGAGCTTAAATCCCAGATGTTTGAAATATAATTAATATAGCAAAGAAATACCTGGTGTATGTACTATTAGTAGAAGTATGTGATGTGATCCACATAAATTATATTTCACCTGAATTTAATCACTTTTGGATTTGCTTTGCTAGAGATGCGTGTTACAACTCTTATCTTTAAGTAAAAAGTAAGAATTAGTGATCCACAAAAATCTGTTCCCTCTAATAGTTTAATGCTGAAGCACAAAACTTTTCAATAAGGCGAAATTTGCAAGACAGTTTATGTGCGGCCAAGGGTGCACGATTCTGTGGAGTTCTGTCTGCACACAAGCTGGCCACAGTTAATTGGCTAGTTTGTATGCAATGTGACAGTGCAGTTCCCTGTCTTGGTGTATGTCACCCAGGATTCTCAACTAGGCACGTTGAAGGGCTCCAGAATGCTTGTTTATTTTTGAGGGAACTGTTTTTTTTTTCAGTTTCCTCAGTGGTTGGTAAAACTCGGTTCGGACCTGGAGCCCAGAGATTTCACAGTGATCTGGGTGGGAAATCTCCAGTCCTGGGACCAGGTTTTGGGAACAGCCAGCACACTGACTATGCAGATGTGTGTCAGGGGCATATTTGCCGCAAGGCAAACAAGGCATTTGCCTAGGGTGGCACTTTTCAGGGGGGCGGCACAGCAGCAGCGCCGCCCCCCCCTCCTTTCCCATGGAAGGGACACTTCCATGGGAAAGGGACAGGGGCTGCTGTGTCTTACCTGTGTCCGCGACTCCGTGTCCCACGTTGATCCGGTCCACAAGGCACTGCTGGAGGAGGGGTGCAGAGGGTGTCCGTCCGGTGTCTTCATCTTCCTGGATCTTGAATGCGATGTGAGCGGGACGACAAGCCGCCCTCTGGGATCATTGGGCAGCCTATGGCAGCCTGTCCCTCCCTCTGCAAGCTCCACCTCCTCACCGGTGTTTGTCCGCCAGATCTGTAGCTCAGAAAAGGCACACAGGCGGCTAATCACAGGTGAGGAGGTGGAGCTTGGAGAGGAGGAGCTGAGCGGCAGCGCGAAGATTGAAGATCGAGTGAGGGAGCAGCTGGCGCTGGTAGAGAGGAGGAGAGTGTCTGGAGAAGGAAGACAGCTGATGGGTGTCTGTGCCTGAAGGAGGGAGCCCGGGCTGGAGCAGGGGTCAGCACAGCAATGTAAGTATAATTGGTGTCAGTGGAAGGAATAGTGCCCCCTCATTGGTGTCACTGACACCAATGAGGGGGCACTTTTCCTCCCACTGACACCAATGATGGAGAACTATTCCTCCCACTGACACCAATGGTGGGACACTATTCCTCCCACTGACACCAATGATGGGGGGCACTATGCCTCCCACTGACACCAATGATGGGGTACTATTCCTCCCACTGACACCAAAGATGGGCCACTATTCCTCCTGCTGACACCAATGATGGGGCACTATACCTCCCATTGACACTAATGATGGGGCACTTCCTCCCACTGATACCAAAGATGGGGCACTATTCCTCACACACTGACACTAATGATGGGGCACCATCATTGGTATCGGTGGGAGGAATAGTGTCCCATCTACCAGTGTCCCATAGTGTCTACATAGAACGTTGTTTCTGTGTAAAGTTTAATCTCCTGTGTGGGAATCCTGGATGGACCTTTTAATTTTGTTCAATAAAAGTAGACCAACATGCCCTTAAATGGCACAACTGGCATGGGCTCTACTCTACTCACTGATGAGCAATACACTGAATTAAACTACCCCTGAACATTACAGCATCCATAGCAGGAGGAATTGCTGCATCTACAGTCGGCATTTAGCCGTGGCTAAACTGCCATGTGTTGTTCGTCAATGACCAAAAGGGATAGAAGTCTGTTTTATGTGCACCAGGTGCCTTTGCATACCTAGATATTACCTTTGTAAAATTACGTTCATCGTTGTGCTGCACATATCCTATGCAGAAAGCAAAGCTGTAGGACAAGCCCAACAGGCCCGTCAATTACAGGCTTCCTACAGAGAACTATGGGAAGGGTGGGAGTAGACAAGACCATTCACCCTGCACATAATAAGAGAGCAGCAGTGACTGGTCTTTATTACAAAAAGCTTTTTCACAGTTCAAAAAGGAAACCACAATTCAAGTAAGAATGCAGATGCCTCTTGTATTTAAACAATGTTTGTTCTGCCTGGAGTTCATCTTTAAAAGGGAACTAAAGGCATCATGCAAACATTTATGAGCAAGCAGGCTCACAGTATCACAGTATGCAATGACTCTTCTGCAATAAAATACACCTAATTGCCTGCTTGCTGTCTTCTGTGGTATAAAATCTAAGCTGTGCATGCCCTGTGCGACTGAGATAACTGACTCCTGTGTATACACAGGAGCTACATCATCCACCACCAGGCAATGTAGATGCCTGAATATTGGCATCCAGAGAGAGCCAGGGAGACAATGCCGGCTCTGATAAGGGACCCCACCAGACTTCGGACCATTGGTGAGGAGGCAAGTATAGTGACTTTAGTTCTGCTTTAAGACTCACTCATCTCTAGTTAATGGATGTCTTACAGAGCTCAATATGCACGAGAAAAGGACTGTTACTGTTATCATAGGGTCATAAAGATAACGCCCCCAGATTTGTACACTGATGAGAACCCATAGGGGCTGAAGAAGGACCAACTTAATCAACCCTAAAGCAAGATTCTCTTTTAGAACGAATAGCCATACAGAGGGGTTGATTTACTAAGTCCAAAAAGGCTGTCCACTTTGCAATCATTGTCACTGTGCAAGGCAATTTTCCCTTAGCCTAGTGAATGAGGTGAAGCTCGGCTGACTTCCATCTTCCAACCAAACATACGCAAGAAAAAATTCTGCTTTTATTTCTAGTTTTTCAGTGTGTATGTTTTCTTTGCAAAGTGAATTTTCAGCACACTATACTCGAGGAACATTATCTTGCAAAGTGAACAGCCTATTTGCTGCTAATGGTCTGCAGTTCTCTTTCATCATGTCCAAGCATTCTCATTATAATACAACTGCAATAATAAGAATACAAACTAAATAAGGTTAATCAAGGGTTAAATTTGAAAATATGATCTGTTAAAACAGTGAGAAATGGATACAATTATTATTGCCAGTCTTATTAAAAGCTTAATAACGGCACACTACACAGTTATATTTACAAAATTAAAAAGCATTATTGTTTAAATAATGCATATCCTCCTTAAGCACAGTACAGACTTATGATAATTAAAACAGTCATGACTTTATACAAGTGCTTTAAATCCACTCTTTTCCATCATGCCAGCTAGGCAGTTTAGCTTACAATGTATTTATGCAGAGCCCTTGTCCTTGCTATATAGTATGACCTATGTGCATCATTTTACATAGGTCTTTATCAGATGACACAAATATCTGGTGAGTGCCTAGAACATTAGATAAATGGAAGGATATATACTGGACTGTTGCACTGTAGAAGGTTTACTTTAAGGTAATGGGGGGAAAAAGCTCATGAATTGTGCAGTGATATGATTGGACATGACTGGCAAGGAGTGCTGGGATTTGTGAACCATCAATAACTGAATGGCTATAAGTTGCCAGCATTTGCAATTTAAAAATTCATATAAAAGCAGATGCTTACCAGCTTATTTAATACATTAGATCAAGTGCAATGAGTAGGTATAAAATGAAACAATGCTTAGTGACCACTTACTGTATATTGCAATTTACAACAAACAAAAAAAAAATTATTATTGTACTTTTTAATTTTTTTTAATTCTCTTTTTATTGGGTTTAAAAAATGTAGTGAATAAGTATAAATAATAAGAGCAGGAACCTAACCCAAAAGGGGAAGTTCTGCTTGTTTCCCCCCCCCCCTTTAAGGTTGTGGCTCAAGGGGAGTGGGTGCCTGCTCCCACTTTCGGCCAGATGCCAGCGGTGCTTCAAGTGAAAGTTTGGCCCCACCTTTCTCCCCAGTCTTCTGGGACACATCACAGGTCCTAGAAAGCTGTGGGAACATTCACGAAGCACAGCAATGTTTGCTCATGAGCACTGGGAAGCTGACTGTGAAACCACAAGCAGCCACAGCCAGATTCCCAAAGTAAACATGCTAGCACCAAGGACCTGAAGAGCTGGGAGAGAACCACGCTGGATCCCTGTATAGGTAAGTGTCCTATTATTAGTACAGTCAGAAGCTACATTATTTGGTGAGTAGAAGCTGGTGGAGATCAATGTGCTGCAACTAGACTTTATAGACAATAAAATGTTTTGAATACAAAGAAAAATATTGGGCTTTTTCTGTTGGAGCTACAGACACTTCCAGGTATGATGAATAGTGTGTCCCTCACTGGGCGCTATGTCTACTTCTTCCTTTCTGTCCAACATCTTTGAGAAAGCAGCAGCATGCCAACTAAAGACATGTAAAAGAAGGATGCTGGCAAGTCTGCAAAGAAGTATAAGGACCCAGTCAATAAGTCTGGAGGAAAGGCAAAAACAAGAAGTGGTCAAAAGGAAAAGTGAGGAACAAGCTTAACAATCTAGTGCTCTTTGACAAAGCCACTTATGACAAGCTTTGTAAAGATGCTCCCAACTACAGACTTATTACTCCAGCTGTGTTGTCTGAGAGGCTGAAGGTCATAGGCTCATTGGAGAGGACTGCCCTCCAAGAGCTGTGTCCTGTAGTGATGTAGGGATTGGTGAGAAGGACCACAGCACCCAGCAGGGAACACCCTATTTGACACACCTGGTGTGCATTTAGAAAAAAAAAACTAGAGAGCTATTATTATGAGGCAAAAGCTAATCTTATAAGGTAATTTTCTTCCTAGATTGAATGTTATTCATTCATTTAAAAGAGAGTTCTTCTAATAACGATTTATAGAGATTGTGCCAGCTTGGTGTCAAATGGCAGCAAACCCTGTAGTTGAACAGAATGTAAGTGCCCATCGGAAAGGTGAGTATTCATCTTTTAGTTTTGCAGCCTGATTTTAATCTTTTTTGTTAATGGTAGCAGCAGAGTTACTTTAAAGAATTAGTTAAAAAAGAAATGCATTCAGAATTATAGTTTCTTGATATTATAGTTTCTCGATATGAGACGCACCAAAATTCCTATTCAATATATTATCTCTCAGAAAAGAGAGAGGTGGTTGGGGATTACCAGATATCTTTGTATATTATAAAGCACTGAAAGTAATTAAGATGCTGAAATGGGCTGTCTCCTTGGGGCCAGGAATTATTTACTGAAAGAGTTCAACAATTCACTGTTAGATCTAGGTGAAGTACTATGGCTTGAAGAACATTCTATATCAACTTCAAACTATCCTTTTCCTATACTATTCATATATTGCAAGAACTGAGTGACAACAATAAACAAATCAATTTACTGTCTGCAATAATGTAAAAAAAAAAAAAAAATCATAATCATTTAGATACTGTGGAAGTACAAACGGCAATGATAATGCATAAAATACAGTAAAACACGGCAACCAATTAGATTTGATGTAATTTAGTCAGATGAGTAAAATAAATTGAAGTAGTTGCCATGGGCCCCTTGCTCTTTGTCATATTAAAACATTCTGTTGGGTTATTTTTTGTTTACCAAACCACCAACGTGTAATTTACACATTTTTCTGCTATAGTTTTCCATTAGTCACCATGTTTTATACTAATGTTTGCATATGTGTTTGTTTTGCAGGTAACCTTGATGTTTTTTTTCCTGTTTCCAAGTAACCGTAAGATATGACAGCTTGCTTTTGCACTTTTTGTTCAGTTCTGTTTTATTAATCAGTTGAATGTGTCAGTTTTATTGTTCATTCTTATCTACTGAATATCTGTGCATTTAACTGTAGATACAAGAACTAAGTGTTTGTCCCCCTTGGAAGTACCTGTTCTTTTGCGTCAATTGCTCCTAAAATAAAGTCTGATCTTCTGGTCACGAGAATATACAAAAGTTTCCTGCTGCTGATCAATTACAGGTCCATCTCACTTTATTGATATTTCCAGGAGAGCTGTAAACAGTATCTCAGGTTCTGGTCTTGATTTGATTTGACCATCACAAGATACAATTTCTCTTCTGTTAAAATGATTCTGTTGACAGGCGGGAGAATTTTAGTGGCAGCCTCCATTAAAAGAAGAAAAGGAATACGTACTTCTCTAATGGGTGAGTTAAAACATTGCCTTCTTGAAGAGCTCTAAAGCACCACTGTTATTAACTCTTCTTGGTGAGTTGAATAGTGCTTCCCCGCACTGGGCACTATGTTTCCTTCCACCCCTAAATTGTTACTGTATTTTCTAATGATTAAGGGGTCATTAGGAATAACCAGACCACCCAGCAGGGGACATGCAATCCAACACACATGAAATGTCTGATAACAGCAGCGCCTAGAACTCTTCAACAGAGTAAGGTTTCCCTTCACTGCCTATTGGAAAGGTAAGTGTTCCCCATCTTCTTTTACAGGAGGCTGGTGCTGTAAATTCTCCAACCTGGAGACAAGGTCACTTTAACCCCGTCTCTGTCAGAGCCACTTGTGCATTTTTTGCGTACATGTTTAAAAAAAACAAATCATTTAGGCCTGAAGATTACATAAAATCCCCAAACATTATATATTTTCTGAAAGCAGACAACCTGGAGATTAAAAGGGTGGTAGTTATAATTTTTACAATGGTACATGATATTAGCACAATGGTTTAAAAAACTTTGCTAAAAAATACACTAAAGTTAATTTTAGGGCACACATACACAATAAATTACCTATTTGTGGGTAAAAACATAAAAGATAAGATTGTTCCAAGTAAATAGATACCTAACATGTCAAAACTTAATATTCTGTACACCCATGAAATGGCAACAGATTTCAATACCCTATACTTTCCATAGACAATGCGTTAAAAGCCCCTAGAGGGCAGCAGTTTAGAGTTACCCAGGAGATATGGTGCTAGAAATATTGCTCTTGTGTGCACAGTAATATGCAATATGTGTAGCACAACAGACACTTTCCTGCATAGGCACACCTGATACATGCATTCATATGTGCATTTATGTGGGGGGCCTCAAGAATGTTTCTTTACTTAAAGTGGAGCTCCACCCAAAAGGGGAAGTTCTGCTTTAAGTACTGGTCCCTCACTCCCTGTGAGAAATTGGCACCTTAGGGGAGTGGATACATGATTTTGACAGGTACCCAATCCTACCTCTGCTGCGATCGCCTAGGCGATTGGAAGCGGAAGTTTTCTTTCACCCCTCCCTCCCTGTAGTCTTCTGGGACACATGACAGGTCCAAAAAGACTATAGGACCATTCACAAGGCACAACGCGACTCGTGCATTTGCAGTGGGCACTCAGCTGTGAAGCCTCAAACTGTCACAGCCGGGTACCCACACTTAAGATGCCAGTGCCGAGGAGTGAGCACAGATGATGATTCCGGCTGCGTTGAGTACACTTCTGGATCATGGGACAGGTGAGTGACTGTTTTTTTAAAGGTCAGCAGCTACAGTTTTTGTAGATGCTGACTTTTATTTTTTTTAGTTTTGACTGGAGCTTTGATTTAACTTTTTTTTTTTTTTTAACACATAGGTGACATGTGATGATTATTTGGTGAAAGAGTCTCTTTCATGCAACACCAGGGATCTAAGAGGCCCCTGATTTCTCACCTGTCTTTCCATAAATCTAATGGCATACAGATTGCATTCCATCAGGTTCTGCCCCAGCCATACAGACTGGAGAAGTGAAAGGGGTAGAAATATTAATTGTAGGAGAACAGAGGTACACTAATGAGCGCACTCAGCCCAGGATAGATGATGGGGGCATGAGGGGGTGGCCATTATCGGGGGTGTTTGGAACCTGACAACCAACAGTTAGCTTGTCAGATATATACTGTATGATGTACACACACGCCCCGCAGTTGGGTGTAAAACCCTCCCTTGTCACCTCCAAATAACATATATATGTGGCAGTGAATTGGTTAAGCCATTCTTTGTTTTATTTGTGCCTGTAATTCAGGTCATTGTTATGTTGTACACCCAACTATAATTATACTTTAGTTGATGTACACCTATCCCAAAATTCTCCTGTATTTTTTTTTATTGCATTTACCTTTCCCTTTATGATAATAGATAGTGAGAGATGAGGAAAAGTGCCAAAAGCATAATCCACCCTTCACCATGTTTCACAGTTGGAATAAAGTTTTATGGTGGGATATAAGGCTTATTTTTTGCTCCAGGCATAGCATTGTGTGTTTCTGCCAGCAGCTGTTTTTTAATTTGTCCACAGAACATAATGCCAGAGGCTAGTAAGATAATGCATGTGGTATTTAGTAACTTTTAGCATGCATTTTTTTAGAGGAACAATATTTACCTCAGTGAAGTCCTTCTGCATGCACCATTATTTTGCTTTTTTTCATATACTGGGCACATGAATATAGATGTAAACAAGTTTTAACACATTTCTAGAGACTCTTTTCTACCACTGCTTCTTGAGGTGGATGATTATTAATTTAATGTAGCATTTCCCTGCTTTTTGTATCTCTGCAAATCTTCTAAAGTACCTTTTACATTTTTTTTTTGTTACTAGAGCATGGTTCAGTTAAATATATTAATTCTGATAAGAGAGCAGACAACCAATCAGACTGTCAGACACAATTCGGGTTACTTTTTTATTGAACTAGGCACACAACTCCTCAATTCTTAATGACTAGAGTAGCTCAATCCAGTTACCATCAATGCAAAATGTCATTATCCAAGGCATTCATGTACCTTTTGCAGAATTCACTTTAATAGTTTTAAGTTATTTGTTTAACAAGGATATGGTAGTATATATGTTGTATGTGTTCATTGTTAAGTAAGGTAGTACGTATTTATTATTATGACTACATTTCTGGATTTGTTGATGTAGAAAGCCAGCCTTTTCCGAATAGTTCACAAGTCTTTGCTTACAACTGAATCTGTCATGCTCTTATCATGCTATCATCTTATTACATTTAGATTTCAATGTCATTTCATTCTGCTTTTTATTCTAAAACCTTCAGTGGATCTCAAGTAAAGTAACAGAGTGTGCGACATAGTATAGTATCCATTTCAAGCTTACCTGAGCCCCTCATTGGGTCAACAACCAACTAATAGTACCTTATTCAAAAGCTTAACAGAAATATAGGAATACGGGAAATGCACACAGCTACAATTATAAATGCACTAACCACTAATCTTAAGATAATAAAGTAAATACAATGTAACAATCCAAAATATTCAGTGGTGTAGTGTAGCGTACACAGTATATTATACAAGTGACAGACTCAGATACATAAGTACCCATAACACAAAATAAAGTAAGATAAATCATTAGGAAGAGTTTAATGTTATAAGAACTATACATCTAGACTTTCATTTGTCACACTTCCATGAAACGTGTATATATATATATATATATATATATGGAAAGAAGGGTAGTGCTTCCCTTTTAAAATAATATTTATTAAACTGTGGTAAATACAAGGAAGGTGCTTATTTTTAGTACTCTTGCACTGGAAACAGTAAGCATTATAATCATTTGTAAGTAAATAAGATAACATTTGCTATATTTCATAATGACCACAAGTAACACATTACAGCTATTTTCAAGCACTAACCATATAAGTCTTAGTTGTG